AACCTCCGCCTCCCAGGTTCAGGCGATTCTCCTGCTCCAGCCTCCCGAGTATCTGGGACTACAGGCACCCACCGCCACCACCACAGACTAAATTTTTTTTTGTATTTTAGTAGAGACGGGGTTTCATCATGTTGGCCAGGATGGTCTCGATCTCCCGACCTCGTGATCCGCTTGCCTCGGCCTCCCAAAGTGCTGGGATTACAGGTGTGAACCACCGCGCCAGCCCACTCCACCCCTTTAACTTCTCTCAAGGTTTTTCTTCAGCATGGGACACGCCTCACAGGCTGCCGTCAAAGTGCTTTGAAAAACCGGAGACAAGGCAGGGCGTGGTGGCTCACTACTGTAATCCCAGCACTTGGGCAGGCGGGAAGTTCACCTGAACCTGGGAGTTGGAGGTTACAGTGAGCTATGATCGCGACACAGCACTCCAGCACGGGCGCCAGAGCGAAACAAGTGTTTCAAGAAAAAAGTAATAATTATTGAGAGTTTTCGGGCAGCTGTGAGCTTAGAGGAAGAAGCCAGTGCCAACCCAAGAAACTTTATTTGGGGACTAAATAACACTGCCCTGGTCCAAAAACTCACAAAACAGTGTGCGATAAGGATGAATCAAGAAACCCGTGGACAAGATGAAAAGCATTAGAGGTCAAGAAAGTCATTTTTCTGGCAGGAAAGATTCGATGTGGGGAAAGCCGGCCCGGCGGCTCACGCCTGTGATCCTAGCATTTTGGAAGGCCGAGGTGGGAGGATCACTTAAGCTTATAGTTCGAGACCAGCCTGACCAACATAGTGACCAGAGTCACTTCACGGTAGGGTCTCCAAAATTCTTACTGACAGACATTTAATCCACTGAAGGGGTTCATATCCGACGTTTTTGCTCTGCGGGCCAACCTAAAGCAGGAAGCTGCGCAGTTGAGCGTCCGCACCCCCGTCCCTCAGGACCCCAGCCAAGTCAGCCGACAACCGCTCCTGTCCTCAGGCGCCTCCCGGCAGGTGCTGCGGCACACACCTGCGGAACGTGGACCTCCAGCACGGCCCCCTCGGATCCCGGGCCCGGCTCCTCCGAGAATCGAAAGCGGACCCTCTGCCCTCGGAAACCGTGGTCGCTCAGGGGGTCGCCGGTGGGCCCCGAGCCGGCGGGAAACTGCGGAAGGCTCTGGGCTGCCAGGCTGCGCGAGAGGGAGGCTCCGGGCCACGTGGCTCTAGCACCTGACCGCAAGAAGCGGAAAGCCCAGCTCCGGAATAATAAGGCCGTGTTGCGAGCGAAGAAACCGCGGAATTAACGGAAAGAGACAGACGCGCAAGACCGGCAACGGGCGGACGGCGCAGCCGGAAGTGATGCGCGCTGCGACAGCGCGCCGGAGGGGCGGGGCAGCACGGCAAGGTGGTCAAAGACCTTCCCAACATGGCGGAGGCCCTCCCCGTGTGTGAGGGCGGGCCCCAGAGGCGCCGAAACCAATGGCGGGCCGCGAGAGGCGCGGGGGCGGGGAACACGGCGGCCGCTTGCCCAACCCGAGGCTCGGGAGGTGGCTGGGGAGTGAATTTTCTGGAAGGCGACTTTAAAGGCGCCGGGCCGGAGTGAAGGGCGTTTGATTGCCTCCGTCTCCGCCACCCGGGCCGGGAGGGGTGCGTTAGTGGCAGGAAGCGGGCTGCGCCGAGGTCGTAGCGGAACCAGCTGGTGACCCCGCAGGATGAACCACAAGAGCAAGAAGCGCATCCGCGAGGCCAAGCGGAGTGCGCGGCCGGAGCTCAAGGACTCGGTGGATTGGACCCGGCACAACTACTACGAGAGCTTCTCGCTGAGCCCGGCGGCCGTGGCGGTGAGCGGGGCGAGCGGGGTGGCCGGGCCGGGCATCAGCGCCGCCAGCCGCTGCGCACTTTTCTCGGGGCGCTGGGCTGCCCTCGCCCCGAGCGCTGCACCCGGGAGCTCGAAGAGGCTCACCCGCACCCCGCGGAGTTTGGGGTTCCGGAGGCCCGGATTCCGGGCCAGGCCTCTTTCCTCCCGTGCTGTGGCCGCCCGTCCGTCCCGGCCGACGACGGGAGTCCCACGCCTGTGGCACTCTCAACTGGAAGGCCGGTCATCCCCGACTCCTTTGGGCGGCGGGGCCCCTAGGGGACCTGGCTGTCAAGGCTCGCGGGTGGGAGATACGAAGTCCCCTCCTCTGATGCGGTGGCTCTAGGAACGACGTGGTCTCACGCACGCGCCCTCCCCCGTTCCGGAGGAGCCAGATGAGAGTCAGCTTCCTTCGGTTGCCATTACTAATTGGCCTTGGGGACACCCTTATCTGCCACTGGACTTCTTTTTTATTTTATTTTTTAACTGGAAAGGTCTTTTCTAATTTCTTCAGGATAACGTGGAAAGAGCAGACGCTTTACAGTTGTCTGTGGAAGAATTTGTGGAGCGGTATGAAAGACCTTACAAGCCCGTGGTTTTGTTGAATGCCCAAGAGGGCTGGTCTGCGCAGGAGAAGTGGACTCTGGAGCGCCTAAAAAGGAAATATCGGAACCAGAAGTTCAAGTGTGGTGAGGATAATGATGGCTACTCAGTGAAGATGAAGATGAAGTACTACATCGAGTACATGGAGAGCACTCGAGACGACAGCCCCCTTTACATCTTTGACAGCAGCTATGGCGAACACCCTAAAAGAAGGAAACTTTTGGAAGACTACAAGGTGCCCAAGTTTTTCACTGATGACCTTTTCCAGTATGCTGGGGAGAAGCGCAGGCCCCCTTACAGGTAAAGTATTCTGCCTCTAAGTGGTTAAAACCTTATCGACAACAGCGTTTGTTCGCTGAGTTCAGTTGGTAATGTTTTTCCAAAACGGTGAGTTCTCCCTTGGCTGCACATTGAACTTACTTAGGGGGCTTCTGAGGTCCTACTGTGGAGACTGTGATTTAATTGGGGTGCTTGCCTGGGCATCAGAATTTCTGAAAGCTCCCCAGGTGACTTGAATGTGCAACTAAAGTTGAATCACTGATCTCTAAGGGAAGTTTTAATAAAGTCTTATAAAGTCCAGCAATAAACCACATCAGTGTTTTTTCTTTCTTT